AAAAAATACATCATAAAATTTTCATTAAATATTTTATAATTTGACTCTACAAAAGAAAATTATGACAATTAAAAGCGGACGGAGGAAATAATAAATAAATTTCAAGAAAAGGGAGTATATGTTTCCAAATAGGGTCTTTGCCGTTTCGACTGCCGACATTATATTGTCTAGATACATTTGGTCTATTCATGCAAAATAGATTATTGTAAATATAGGGACGGAGCTAATAATCTGTATGTGAGTTTGATTAAATTCAGTAAATTTTATTTAAATAATATATTTATGTTAAAAATATGTATATATATTAAATTTAGAACTTAACTATTACTCCCTCTGTCTCTAATTACTTATCCATTTTTTTTTTTTTAGTTGTTCTTAATTACTTGTCCATTTTAACAAATCAAGAAAGGACAATTTTTTTTACCTATTATACCCTCAATTAATTACTTTGAAAAAGATAAAACTTTTTGAAAATATTAGATTTTTAATTCATCTTCTTCATAATTAATAGGGGTAAAATGGTGAATTCACAATGTCAATTATTGTTTTCTTAATAGGTGTGCCAATTCAAAAGTGGACAAATAATTAGGGACAGAGGAAGTATCACTTAAAAACGTCATTATGAAATTTAAAATTCATAAAATAAAAATTCTAACTTCGTCTTTGATCTAGAAACAATTGCGTATGTTTCTGTAAAACTTACGATCAGATGGTACGTATCAGAGATTTTGAAGCTCGTTCGAACTTTAACTAATACAATTTTTTTTTATTTTAAAGAATATTTTACGTTCAAAATTAAATTTTCGAAATGAATATGAATTAATCAAGCCTCCGTAAGGAACACGTGAATCCATGAGGGCAAGCATGGGTATGACAAGGAATAAAGTGCTAACTAGCACGTGTTACCCACACCCCTTCACGCTTTCATGTTTTAATTATTATCAAAACACTATATTTTAATATTTTTTTACAAAAATACGGTGCCGTAATATTAACCTACAGTTGGAATTGGACCATTCAGATTATAGTTTTTGACTTATTTTAACATAAAAATTATTTAATTTAAAGTATATTTTTATATTTATTAATTACTATTCACTTTATTTTAATTTGTCTGTTCTATCTTAATGTGATATAAAATTTAAGAATTTTTTTTTTTTTTTTTTTATGATTTTAAATAAATATATGTAGAATGTATTAAGATATTCTTCGGTATTGTAATGCTCAACATATCTAAGCAAAAAATTAAAATTACAAAATTACAATAAAAAAATATTATTTTATTGAAACAGATTACAAACAAAATATGACAAATAAATTAAAATGAATCAAAAGATTTTGTTAAAAAACTTCTAAATATGTAGTATTTCATAACTACATTAAGAAAAATGAAGATCTATCACATAACAAGTTAATTTGAACGGATCAAAATATGCTGAAGTATAAATGAGTTATTGTTTAATTTGATTCAAAGACTGGTAATTATACCATGTTCATAATCTAACTTGATCCATTATTTTTATAATTTTCATATTTACATTTCATAATTTGATTTAATTTAAAAGAAACTCATATAGAAGTGATCATTCAAATTTTATAATTTTTTGTGTAATTTTATTTGTTGTTTGCTTGCAATGTTTCAACTTAAAAGTAAATATTTATATATATATATTTTCTTTTATTTTTCACTTGATGTTCACGACCCATTAATCCCTCAACTCTTGAATTTGTATCTCGTAAGACTCAATCTTCCTATCATAATTTTTTTCATATCCAAAATTAAAATATAAGACCCAATCAATGTCCAATTTGACATATATTTGACATATCTTTAATTTAAGATTATAAGATTCAAAATTATTTCTTTAAACTCTGTGTCAAGTCAAAATAAATGAGACTAATTAAAACAAAGGAAGTAATAGTTATAATAATCTATATTTATAGCAGTTAAATTAGGTGTACTTTATACCAACTATCATATTTAAACGTAATTGATATATTTAGGATACACTGACTCTTAAACTTGACTCTTTGCCTATGTATTGAGTATAAAATTTGTCTCAGTTTCACAAATAATCAATTTTATGTAGTTATGTATCAAAATTAATTTATTTAGTATGTTTGATGTCGTATATATAATATCAATTTTATCAGTATATTTGATATCAAATATTCATGTATAAATATATGTATCTGATATTAAAATTATATGTAGCTAATGTCAAAAATATATATTGATACTTTTATCAATATATCAATACATAAATACATATATATATATATAATATCAAAATATACGTATATATAAATCATCACCGAACAACAAAGGGAGGAGATAAAAAGGTCGGTGAAAGAGAGAGCAGAAAAGAATCAAAGAGAATTATTTAATTATTTTAAAGTATAGAGTTATTTAATAAATAAAAACAATTATTCTTATGGAAAAAAAAATCGTGATTTAGAGTATTGAATATTAAAAGCTGAAATTAAGTATATTTTCATAGGTCAAAAGTGAAAATTAAGATGAATCTATTTGATTAAAAAAATTATTTTTTATTCATATCTTTTTAAAAATCCAATAATGCCAAAATAGATATTAGGACCAAATACCAGAATTTATTTATTTATCCTTTAGAAAAAGCTAGAAAATGGCAGATTAAAGAACTTGCTAGATTTCAAATAAACATAAAAGGATAAAGTTAACATGTGTCAGGATATTTTGGCTTCTTTTTTTATTTAAAAAGATATTGACACAAATCTCAAACTTCCCATTATTATATATAAAGAAGAAAATATTATTTTTGGCTATAAATATTTTGGCCACAATTATGTTGTGTCTTGAGGCACATAAAACCATGATGTTTACCACATCCTTTTTTAGTCATAGAGACAAAAATGCTAAAAAGGGTAGAGTTAGTCGTCAAGATGAATGAAGTCTTTTTGAATCCCCAAAGGTCGTTTGTATTTTGGGTCGGAGCTAGAAGATCGATTATAAGTCTTCGATTGAATTCAGTAACATTAAGTTAAATAGAATATTTATATCAAAACGTTTTTCATATATATATATATATATATATATATATATATATATATGAATATTGAATTTAGAGTACAATTATTCAGAATTCATAACGTTGCGATAATTTTTTCTTGATTTTGGTATTGTAGATGTTGAAAGGAGAAGTGTACTTGCTTGCAAGATTTGGAGGATGTTACGTTGCGGAAATTGAGGTTTGATTTTAATTATTTTGAAATATTTATGCTTGGAATTGATTTTTTTGTTATGTTTACAAGTTTTATTATGTTGTAGTACTAGATTCTACCTATATAATTTCTAGAATAGTTTTTATCAAGACCGTTAATTAAATGCCCCAAGACTTTTTTTCATGAAAAAAACAAACCAAACGTTATATTTTTGCATGACTTGTAATAAGTAATTATGCTTTAAAGTTTTAATATTCTTAACTAGTTTTTTCACCATAATATTTTTATGTATTTACATAATCATGATATTTTGTTTTTTCACCATAATATTTTTAAGTTTTTACGTAACCATGATTTTAGGTTTTTTTTTTTCACATAATATTTTAAGGTTTTGTGTAGCCATGATTTTTTTGTTTTTTTTTCCACCATAATATTTTTAAGTTTTGATGTAACCATGATTTTAGGTTTTTTCACCATGAAATTTTTTACGTTTTTACTTTACCATGATTTTAGGTTTTTTCACCATAATATTTTTAAGTGTTCACTTTTATTTATTTATTTTGGACTTTACACATTTTTTAAGAAATAATAATTAATATAAATATTTTATCAGAATAGTCATATTTACAAATAGATTGTTTCGAATAGAATACTCGAAATAAATGTAATTAAAGCAAAGATTCATGAAGTGACTCTATGAAAATTAATTAATTAAAGGAATTATTTTTCGTTTTTATTGAATATTTGTGTTTGAGTTGGGTGTTAATATGATAAAGATTAGACCTTTCTTAAAATGTAGAAGTCATGATTCGTACCACACTTTATTGATCAAACTTAAAAATATCAAATCATATTGAATTAATATGATACAACATCTAATATTTTTAAAGCATAAAATCAAATTATCAAACGAGATTTATAATGAAAAAGTGTCTAAAATGCCCTTTTACACTTATTGGATAAAAAATGCCCTTTAATTCACCTATTTAAATCAAAAATGCCCTGAATGTTAAATTTAAGGTAAAATTATCCTTCCTTTTAACAAAAGCTTATGACAAATGATTTTTTAATTAAATATATGACATTATTTTTCTTGATCCACATATAATAAATCCAAATTTATTTACAATGTTAATCCAGATCTATTTTTAAAAGATCCAACCCTCATATTTATGCATACTCCTAAATTCAAATAATCTTACCCTAGTTTCTCGATTATTCTCCCTGCCTTAATTTTTTTCTTCTAAAAATTTGTTCTTCCACTATTTCTTTGTAAATCTAGTTATTTAATTATTATTTTTATAATAATCGTTGAAAGGAAAAAGTATGAAGGAAAATACTGGAAATCCACTAATTTTGAAACATAAAGAAAAAAAAGAACAATATAATAGATATAAGATGATCCATTTCAATTTTAAAGAAATCAATTTAAGGAATAAAATGAAGGAGTGTTAGGTCTTTTAGAATTAGATTTAAGTTAATGAATATGATTGTGAATGAATTCAGATTTAATTACATACGAATCAATAAAAATTATACTATGATTTAATTAAAAAAATAATTTATGTCATATTAGCGTTTGTTAGTTCACAATAGGTAGATTGACTGACAATTTTAATTCAATGGGTGAAAGAATATTTTTGAGTCACTTTCAATACGTTAAAAGACATTTTAAACCTTTTTCGTAATATCATACACCTTACACGTGTCAAATTACTTACTAAGAGGGTTGGTACCTCCCCCCACCACCCCACCCTCCCCACCATTTGCCTATATATTTATCTTCACTTGGTCATATCTCTTGTTTCATTTATTCCAACCAAGTTTTTTTTTTTCCATCTATTTTATCTCTCTAAAGTTTATTGACCACCAAATGTCTAAGTGGAAATTAAGTTTTGATTCTTCATCATGTGAATTAGTTAGTGATGATGTCCATCAAAAAAAGATTTGTGACCATCCAATATCACCACAAACTCTACTAACCTTAGGTGTCCCTGGGGTGGAAAATCATGTGTCTAAATTTGGGACTAATTACTCATCAAATCCCTCTCTTGAAAAAAATCTACATAAAGAGTCAAGAGGGAAAAAGAGAAAATGTGGTGAAGATTTAGTGTGTGAATTTGATGTGAGTTTTTAAACTCCCTCTTATGGTGTACCGACAAGTCAGTTGTCTTATAGTCTGTTTGATCAAGCTTTTAAAATTTATTTTTTGTTTGAAATATTATGAGGATAGCAATTTGTGTTTGGTTAATCAATTTGAAAAGATGTTTTCTTGTCAATATTACTATAGTTCTATATGCTTGACCAATATTTCAAAAGGGTGTTTGGAGAAAAAGCTATTTTAAGTGTACATCGATTCTTTTGAGTTTTTCAAGGTTTAAATAAGTGTTTGTTGACACACATGGACTTGTCATACTTGAAATGAAACTCGCTCACCGGCTTGAGTACCTCACTTCGTTAAAGTCTTTTTAGCTTCTGAAGAATACTTTAGTTACAATTCAAAAACACTAACTAGTCAAACACCTCAATTTTCTGAAATAAGTATTTTTTTATAAATAAAATATTCACTTTTAATATTTCAGAAGCTTGATCAAACAGGATATAAGTAACTCAAAACATATCTAAATGCATTGTGCTTGTGGTTTAATTAGTTTTCACTTTATTATGATTTGATTTGTGATTATAGTACTAATCTTGTTCATTATCAGACTAATAATGGAATTGGGATTACATCAAGAAGAAATGAAGATGGTTTCCACCAATATACAAAAACAAGTTGTGTAGAAATGCATAAAATGAATGAGAGGGTTAGTATTCTTTGAAATTAATTACCTTGTTTAATTTGTTCTCTTAATTAATCACTTTATCTAAGTTGTAGAGTTATAAAAGTTCCTCATAACCAATTTAAGCAAGGTGCACCCTCTATTTCAAATTACATAACACACATTTCATTTTAGTTTGTTTGAAAAAATAACGACATACTATTTAATTTTGAACGTCTCAATTTCCTCATCGCGCAGAGACGTAGATACAGGATTGCTAAAAAGATGAAGGTACTGGAGGAACTAATCCCTAATTGTAACAAGGTCGTCTCTCATTCATCTTAATTGTTCTGTATTTACTATAATTCATTCGATAATTACTCCTAAATAAGTCGTTGTTCTTCACCTATCGAAATAATTAAGGTGAAGGATCGAAGATTGTTAGTTAAATCGGAAGAATATGTGACCTAAAATCAGCACTCGTCTCGAAATGACAGGAAGCTATCAATTTATTTCATAATATTATACGCGTTTAATTAGTTTGTTCCAATTCCTTCATGACAACCTCACTATCATTTGATTTGAAATCGAAATTTGGACTAAATATTTGCTCTTTTGACAGTCAAATAGAGCCTCAGTACTTGATCAAGCCATACAACACATTCAAGCCTTACAACACCAAGTACAGGTAACTCCCTCCTCGTTACTAGTAGTCTAGAAAAAGACTCAGTTGAATATCCGTCATTAAGGCCTCTTATTATAATTTAGCTTTTTTTGTTGCATCTTCTGAATCCCCCTCTTGTTAAAATTTCTGACTCTGCTCCTGCGTGCTTGCTTGCTAGGTGATGTCAATGGATAGAATCCGTGCATCGACTCTAGTAGCTGCAGGGAGAAATCAAATAATGCAGAGTACTCTGCATTTTAATCCTTACGTGCCTATAATGCCAAGGATAGGAGCAATTGGCTATTTTTTTGGCTTTGGAAAATCTTTTACTTATAGCAATATGTATTGCTCCAATTTTTCCCCAATGTTGTCAACAGGAGGTCAATTTCCATTTTTACCCCTCTCCGACGCCAATAATTTACTGCATCCCGTGCCTATAATGGAAGCATTTACGCGAGGCTCTGCATCCGTTGCTCCACCAGAAAAACGCGCTTAGTTGAAAAGGAAATCTACAGTATGTTTATGTTGTTTGAAATTCATTTGTCATTTTCAGTTATAAGGTTTAGAATAGTATTAGAGAAATGTGCAAATCAAGTGTCTTAGTATAAATAGGCATGCAGCGACGATGTGAGCTACATAGATTCAAGTGTGTATCCTTTTCCGAAAAATCATATTGTGTATATAGATTAAATATTACGTATTCATGCATATATGTTGAACGTTCTTAATGAAATTTCTTGCATATATCAAAATGGTCCTGCAAATCAATATACATTGATTATATATATAATATGCATATTTATGTATGCAATAGGTATATTATATGTATATTTATACTTGATATACATAACATATACATTTAGGCTACTATTTTTTAGGACGGTCTAAAAAGTAACTAATAATAACAGGACCATGGTTCGCTGCTCCAATTAGGGGCGTATTTAGGGATTTCCCGGATTCAAATGAATCCACCCTCGAAGAATCATATAATATATAATGTGAAACATTTTGGTTATATAGATAAGAGGGTCACTTCTAAAAAGTTTGCCTTTTAATTAAAGCAAGTAAACAATGGTAATCCAAAATCCTTTAAGATTACTATATTTTGTGAAAATTTGACACATGAATGTTTCCATAATCATACTTTTAAATACTTATATTAGAAGGTAATTAAAAAAATACTTTTAAATTCTCCATCAAAAAAGCATTCAAATATACAACAAGCTTTTCCACACTTTCCATTGTTTATAATATAATAACTTGTAAAGGGATTAAGGTAAAGAAGAAAATTTGTGTGTTCTTGTTTGGTTTGTTAAAAAAAATGAATGAGAAAATTAAAGATAAAAAAGGAATAATCACAGTCCAATGTCTTTGAGTGATCTAGTTTATAAAATATGTATCCAACTATTGTATAAATTTTGTATATCCAAGTATAATATACATATAATATGCATACCTATACCGATAATATAAATAGTCAGTGTATATTTCGATCATATTGATAAATAAGTTTGACCGAACCTTATATATTAGTAAGTTTACCAATAATATATATCATTTTCATAAAGTCATAACAAAATTTGTTACTTTCCTTAGAAATTTGCTACTACTATTTTAATCAAGAAAACTATCTCCTATAAATATATAATAATTGTGTACATAACAACATATCTTTAAACCATCAAAAGCCCATGAATATTAATTTTTCTTCTTGGAGTGAACATAAAAACTACAATTTTTTTGGTTCAATTCTTAATTTTAAGCCATGGCACCTAAAGTTTTTTCCCTCTTGTTCTTCTTATTATTTTTTGCCCTTTTTTTGTTTAACACAATTAAAAGTCAGTCCATGCCCAAATTTACATCAATTCTTGTTTTTGGTGATTCAACAGTTGACACTGGAAATAACAATTATATATTTACTTTATTCAAAGGCAATCATATACCTTATGGAAAAGACTATTTTAACCATGTATCAACAGGTAGATTTTCAAATGGAAAAATTGTGCCAGACATATTGGCAAATTTATTAAAATTAAAAAAATATGGTGTGCCACCATATTTAAATCCAAATTTATTGGAAAATGATTATAGAAGTGGAGTTTCTTTTGGATCAGCTGGATCAGGATATGATGATTTAACAAGTTTAATTTCAGGTGTAATTTCAATGAGAAAACAATTAGAACATTTTAAAGAGTATTTGAAGAAATTGAAAGATTTTTTTGGAGAAAAAGAAAAAAAAAGAATTGTGAAAGGTGCTTTGGTTATGGTTAGTTCAGGGAGTAATGATTTTATATTTAATTTCTATGATGTTCCAACAAGAAGGCTTGAGTTTAGTTTGGAGGAGTATCAAGATTTTCTTCTAGACAAGGTGCAATGTTTTGTCAAGGTAAATTCTCTATCACATCTATATTTCCTTTTAATGTTATAGATGGGCAGTCTCGGAATAATTGTAAAGCTATCTCTATATAGTAAATTAATTACAAGTTAAGTCATGAAATCAGTCGTTGATACTTGCATCATGATACGCTGTATATATTATATGTTCTTGGGGTGTGACTTTTAGTTGGATCCTGTATAAATGTGAAAAAAATTGTGCATCAGGCTGCAATATTTTATGACTATGTTATTCGAGTTAGATTGTTATAGCGTGTAATACCGTTAGTGATATTATTCACTTCATATCAAGATTTCACGACTTTAAAAGATATCACTAGTGTCTAAGACTTGCACACTTTATACATTCAATATCTTTTTCCGTATTTAATTTTTCTAGGGTGTTACTGTACTTGTGTATATTTTGATTATTTCATCATATACTTATTTCTTGCCACCAATACAAATGCCATAATAACTTTATTTAGGAAAACTTAAATTTTTAGACCGACAAAAAGAAATCACATGAATAGCATTGACATACAACCCTATCGTCTTATCACTCCTTTCTGTAATTTTTTTGTGAATACTTTACACCATTACATCACATATATATTATAGCAGATAACTTATCTTATTTTCTAGACTATATATCTTACTTTTTTTATGATAGTCAAACTTTATATAATTTTTGTATCTTATTTTATTAGGAACTTTATGAACTTGGATGTCGTAATATTATAGTGAGTGGGCTACCTCCAATTGGTTGTCTTCCAATTCAAATGACAACAAAATCTCCACTCCATAGAACTTGCATTGAAAAAGAAAATTCAGATTCTCAATCTTATAATAAAAAACTTGAAGAATTATTGCCACATTTACAAGCACAACTTCAAGGAAGCAAAATACTTTATTCTGATATATACACTCCTTTATCACATCTCGTCAATAATCCACATCAATATGGTAAGCTTTAAATTATGTTGTTCAAGTTCTTCAAATATATTACTGAATACGTATTAATTTCTTTATAAATCATATTTTCTTTAGAAAATTTAGTACAAATATAATATTATTTTTGGAGAGTAAGAGAGATTATATTCTGTGCATTTTTCATATTATGATTGACTTGATTCTTGTCTTAATTAGAAAAATTTTGTGTGAGTACATCATCAATCTAGTTTATATTATCTTTGATTTATGTTATCAATCTAGTTAATGTTATTTTTTTTATAAAAAAAATTGGTACAATGATTCTTTTCAAATACATAGTTTTGTCTTAAATACCAAACAAACAATCCATTTTGACAAATGTGGGAACTATCATATTACAATTTCAACCAGTGCTCATTTCAATGAAAATAATGTTCAGATCAATTTACACACATTTTATCTATTTCATTGAGTATTATTTATTATTTTATTAATATATTAGGTTTTTTTACTCATTAGTAGAGTGGCAACACAAAGTGAGTTGTGGTTAGTTGAATATTTTTTTGTCAAAATCATACTCATGACTATTACCATAGTTAATATTAAGAGTGAAACAAAAAAAAAATCTCTTAATATACTTTAGTGAACAAGTAAACCTGAAAATATATTTTTTATTATAATGAACAAATAAAAGTAAATGATAAAAGTACTTTACAAACCTCCCCAAAATCACCTTTTTGTTCTTCTTATTAATCTAAATTAAATGTCTTTTTATTTTTATATTTATCTTTATTTTTACATAATTATGACAGGATTTGAAGAAACAAAAAGAGGTTGTTGTGGAAGTGGATTATTAGAAACAGGACCCTTGTGTACAAAAAAATCTCAAGTGTGTTCACATACTTCACAATATGTTTTCTTTGATAGTATTCATCCAACTGAATCAGCTTATTACCAAATTTCTGAATATTTTATGAAGGAGCTTCTCCCAAAATTCTCAACCATTGACAACTTTTAATTTATTACATTCAAATAAAATTTGTAAAAAAAAATTAGGTGTTATTTGGCTTCTGGTTAAGAAGGGAGTTATTCATGTATTAAATTAATGTAGGTAAATATCATATGTGGTAACTTTCTAGTTTCTTTGTATAAAAAATTCAGCATATCAACTATGATATGTGGTTTGTCATTTTATAATGAGAGAAGTAATCTTGACGCAAATATTAATTTCGTCCCTGAATTATTAGAGTATCATTTATCTACGCTTTTTAAGCTTGTTTTCTTTTTCAAGGATTTTATGATAGTTTGTTTACTTAAAAAAGAAAATGTAAATGTGTAACACATGGATAAAATAAGAAGAGATAAAAAAGAAAAAACATAACAACCTAAATTTAACTTGAGAATGACAATTTTCTTTGATAAAATATGAACAGACAAATTAGAATAGTTTGAAAAAATGGCACACCATGGCATGTTATAGTTAAAATTGGCAATAAATAACCCACTTACAATTTTTTAGCAAAAAAAGATTTCTTAAAATCTATTTGTCATTTATTAGCCATGTTCTCTTTTACTCGTTGTTTTTTTTCTTTGAAAACATTTTTTTTCTAACCCTTTTCAAGAAACGTTTTTTCTTTCATTCCTTTATTTATTTGAAAAAAGTAAAATTATTTTTTAATCATTTCTTCATCTCTCTTCTTATTTTAAACAGTTCTTTGGTAATAACAACTTTTTTCAACTTTTTTTTTTTACTTTTTTGTTTATCTCTTTAAGATTTTTTTCATACATGCATATATTCTTTTTTTTTGCCTAAATTTTCTCCTTCGCATCTACATTCAACCTGTGTATGATGATATTAATCATTTTTTTCATTGTTCTTGACTATATTTAATCTATCATATATATTTAGAAAATAAAAAATTCATTATTTTATTGTTCCTATTTTCTCTCTTCTTATTTATTTTGTCAACTGTTTTAAAGCAAAATTCTCTCTTTTTTCTTTCTAAAATTCTTTCTTACGATAGTTTCCCTTTTCTTTACTCCTAAATTTTTCCTTCTATTTCTTAATTTCCTCTTTCTCCACGTATTTCAAACTTCAAATAAAAAAGTGAAAGGACCACGAAGAAGAAAGGGGAAGATAATGTATACCCCATTTCAATGAATTATTTGAGACATTCATATAAGATGTGTATACATATTAACTTTTAATTTGATAGACTATATATATCAAAAGTGTATACATTTCAGAATATAATTTAATGGTGTATACATATATGAGTGTATACATATTTGAACTATATAAATTACTCCCTCTGTCCCAATTTATGTGACACATTTTGCTTTTCGAGAGTCAAACAGTTTAAGTTTGACCGAGATTTTGCTCATGAAATTTTCAAATTTTTTAAAATAAATTTATATATTTGTAAACTACATAAAAAGTACTATAAGTCTCAATAATTGATAATTCAAAATATTTAAAAGATAGGAAAAATTTACGATCAAAGATACACTTGTTTGAATCTCGTAATCCGAAATGTGTCACATAAATTGGGACAGAGGGAGTACAATTTAGTGGCGTATACATACCAGAAGTGTATACATTTCTGAATTGTACAAAATACAAAGTAATGATGTATATATATTAGAACTACACAAATACAACTTAAAGATGGATACATATCAGAATTATACAAATATAATTTAATGATGTATACATGTCAGAATTGTACAAATATAATCTAGTGATGTAACATATCAGAATTGTACAAATTTCAAATTAACAGTGTATACATATGAATATGTTTCATATTATTATCTACCATTTTTCTTTTACATTTCAATGAGATTAACAAAGTGATGTCAATTTTGTGTTGTATTGTAAGAGAGAGAAATACGAACAAAATATTTTTTTATGAAAAAGAATATGTGACTATTCAATACACGTTAATAAAGGGATAAAAATATTTTCATTCTGTAAATGTAACCGCATTCTTTTCAATTGATTAATTAATTAATGTTGTTTGACAAAAAAAATTATTTCCTTAAAAAGAGGCGCATCTTTTTATTAGTGGCTAAGTAGTGCCGATTAATTGAGGCCTTTCAGTTGCTAATTATTTTTTGGCTACTTAGTGCCAATACTATGTGCGGATTGTACCTTTGTGTCAATTCCTACAAAATATATAGATGTGGAACACATGAATAAAAATAATTTTTTTAAAAAGTCTAATCCATCGATGACCCCTTAAAGTTGGCACTAAGTTTCATTTAGACACCTTAACTAAGTTTTGTTCATTTTAGACACCTTATGTAGGATTTCACTGTGTCATTTTGACACTTTTTTAACAATCAGCCAAAAATTTAAAGTGTATATAATACACTCGCCGATGACGTGTTAAAATGACGAATTAAACAAAGACACGTGTCATATATTTTAAAAAATAATTCTCAACTAATGACTTTTAAGTAGAAAGAAAAATGACCATTGACTTGATGATATGTGGCATTTTAAACTCAAATAATAATTATTTTTAAAAAAGAAATTCACCACTTCTAATTTTCAAGAAACTCATCCTCGTCTTCTTCACCCCACCCAACCCATGCATCTTCTCCACCCCACCAGATCGTCCTCTTAACCCCCACCCCACCCAACCTCAACCCTTTTTCCACTCCTATCGTCTTTTCAAGAAACACTTTCAAAAGAATTTAATTACATCAAAAATAATAATTTACAATAGCACAATTTTTTCTCTTCTTTACTTCTAAAAGCATCAGTTATAACTAACAATGGAAGAATTATTATTTTTGCATTTCTCGTATGTGTAGAAGATTCAAATACGTGAACAAGAAATAAAGTAATTATTTCGTGGCGCTGAAATTTAATTGTCGGATCTAAAAAAACAGAATGAGAAGATGATGTGGTTGTGGTGATTTTTAGATCTGAAAAAATTAAAAATTACTTCGATTGTAATAAGATTAATAGCAATGATGCATCGGTGGTGGGTTGATGGTGTGCAGTGGATGAGATAATAATCACAAAGAAAGAGGGAAGAAGATGAACTGTTTTTTTTTTAAATAAATTTTTGGCCTGAAAAAAAGCCCTTTCACACGCTGACTTTGATGTTAGCGAAAAATGTCAAAATGATACAATAGGACTCTACATGAGGTGTTTAAAATAAACATCGCTCATTAAAGAAATCTAAATGAAACTTTATGCTAATTTTAGGAGATCATCGATATATTAAGCCTTAAAAAAAAGACAAAAATATAACAATCCAAAATTGACTTGAGAATGACAATTTTCTCTAATAAAATACAAACAAACAAAAAAATGGTTGAAGCGTGAATTAAAGCGAGCAGCCGAATTTGCACTTAAAGAGGGGCACCGCAACATATAGAGAAAACACGTTTCTTCGGGAAAAATAATTTTCTAGTCCTTTAAAAAAAATTATGACACTTTTACGAGAGATTTTTATTTTTTTTATCGAATCGATGTTTTATTAATAAAAAATTATTTAATATAAGAGATCTTCATTTATTAATTTTTATCGAATACATGTTTTATTAATAAAAAAATTGTTCAATATAAGAGACCTTCGATTTACATAGAAGAGATAAAAAATGTCATTTTCTTCTATTCAAATTGTCCAGATCTTATTTCCTCAACTTCTCTTTGGTCTTTAATGATAAATAATGTACAATATTATATTTTATTTTTAAAAAATCAATCCCTCTTTTATTCTATCGTCACACTGTGGTCCTCATGAAAAGACTTAAATGGTATACTAGCACCATGTGTTTTGTAGCTTTCTTTTGAAATTTTATGGCAAGACTAGTCAATACAAACAACAAAATTTCCATTCCGTGAATCCAAAAATTGTTGTTGAACTAGCACGTATCGAAATCGAGACTTTTGGTTAAAGATAAAGGAGTACAGTAGCGGAACCAAAATTTTTATTAAGGCTATCAAGAATAGAACACACAACCTCAAACAACTTTTGAAACCCCTTAATCACTACACTAAACCTTCAATTTATGTCAAGATGTGTCAATACTTGTATATATATTCATTAAATCAAATTTTGACTTATACATACAATGTAATTTTCCGACGAAGGGGGTGTCGCTTGACACCCCTTGTCCTAGGGTAGCTCCGCTCCCGAAGAATTACTTACCACTCCACCACAACCCTTTCTTTTGTGTTCTTTATATTGGGAAGTAAAGTGCTCCCTAACAAAGGCGATTTCGTATTGAAGTCGAGACCTTTGGTTAAGGATAAATGAATACTTACCACTCCACCAACCATTTCTTTTTATGTTCACCACAACCCTTTCTTTTTTTGTTCACCATAACCCTTTCATTTCTGTTCTTTATATTGGGAGGTAAAATGCTCCCTAACAAAGACAATTCTGTATCGAAGTCGAGACTTTGGTTAAGAACGAAAAAGTACTTACCACTCCACCACAACCCTTTCTTTTCTGTTCATTATATTGGGAGGTAAAACACTCCCTAACAAAGGTGATTCCGTATCGAAGCCGAGACCTTTAGTTAAGGACGAAGGAGTACTTACCACTCGACACAACCCTTTCTTTTCTGTTCTTTATATATACATCTTAGATATGAATGATTTTTTATCCCTCTTTCATTTAAAAGCTCATAAAAATTGTATTGTTATTGAAACCAAATACTACATTAGACATGACAACTTCTCATTGTACATTCATTTACATTCTTCTACTTCTTTTTTCACTTCCATTCAAAGTAATCACATCATCAGCAAAAACTGAAGCTGAGGCTCTTATCAAATGGAAGAGTACTAACTTATCTTCTACTTCCTTATTGGATTCATGGTCCATTTCCAATCTCGAAAACTTGTGTAATTGGACATTCATTGCCTGCAATGCTGATGGAACAATTTCGGAGATCAATCTTTCTAATGCAACACTCTCAGGCTCTCTTGATCACCTTGACTTCACTTCATTTCCGAATCTCACGAGTTTCATTCTCAATGGCAACAACTTTAGTGGATCGATACCATCGAATATTGGCAATGCCTCTAGTCTTGAAGTTGTTGTACTTCTCAACAATTCATTTCAAGGGAAGATTCCATCTTCAATAGGCAAACTTAGAAATCTTCAAACACTTGATCTTCGAAAGAATCGTTTGAACTCAACCATTCCTTCTGAGTTAGGCCTTTGTACAAACCTCATTATCTTGGCTCTAGCAGAGAATGCTCTGCAAGGAACATTGCCTATATCTTTGTCCTCTTTGATCAAGTTATCCCAGTTGGCGTTGTCCGATAATTTTCTTTCTGGTGAGGTCTCATCAGATCTCATTTTACCAATTGGACTGAGTTGATAGCTTTGCAGCTTCAAAACATTTACATTACTGATTTAGGAGATAATCACTTCAACGACACATTCCTAGTGTGGTTGGGAAATCTGTCAGAGCTGAAAGTTTTAAGCTTGAGATCAAACAAATTCCATGGACTCATTAGAACGTCAAGGATTGAGAACATGTTTCCCGAGCTTCGAATCATAGATCTATCTTATAATGCCTTCTCGGGAAACTTACCTACGAGTATGTTTCAACATCTAAAAGCCATGATGAGAGTTGATCAAACAATGAAGGCACCAATATATCTTGGAGTGTACAGTTATTGCCATGATTCTATGACAGTTGCAACCAAGGGACGAGAGCTTGAACTTGTTAGAATTTTGACAACTTACACCACCATTGATCTTTCAAGTAACAGATTTGTAGGGAATATTCCAAGTATTATGGGAGAACTCATTGCACTTCGGGTGTTGAATTTGTCTCATAATCAATTGCAAGATCATATACCACCATCACTTGGAAATTTATATGTACTTGAATCATTGGACCTTTCGTTTAACCATCTTTCAGGAGAGATACCACAACAACTTGCTTCACTTACGTCTCTTGAATTCTTAAATCTCTCCTATAATTATCTCCAAGTATGCATTCCTCAAGGACCACAATTCTCTACATTCCAGAACAACTCATATGAAGGTAATGTTGGATTACATGGATTCCCAATTTCAGATGGTTGTGGCAATGATCGTGTATCTGAAACAAATTACACCGTATCTTCTCTAGAAGATCAAGAAAGCAACTCTGAATTTCCCAATGACTTTTGGAAAGCTGCTCTGATGGGCTATGGCAGTGGACTATGTATCGGAATGTCCATAATATATTTCATGATCTCCACGGGAAATCCAAGATGGCTAGCAAGAATCATCGAAAAACTGGAACACAAATTTATCATGCAAATGAGAAAGAAGCAACAAGGTCAAAGGAATTACAGAATAAGAAATAATCGTTTCTAGACAAGTTATAAGTTTTGCTATTCAATCAAGCTCTACATTGATCTTTAGTTTATTGTAATTTGTAACTATTATGATATCTCATTGAGTGCTTCAGCTTCATGTGATATAATAATACTGTACTATTTCCAGTGTGACTAACTGCAACATGTACTTTAATTTCCTGCCTTTCTTACATTTAGACAGGAAACACAAAGGACCAAATAATAACTGGACAATATATGGGCAGTAGGCAAAAGAGAAAGAAACAAACCATAAAATAGGTTACATAATGAGAAACTAAATACACATTACATATGAGGTATGGTCAAAGAATCTGCCAAATTCATTCCTTGACATGAACCTTCCTCGGGTTCAGGGGACTCGTATACGCACTCCCTACAATATAAACAAGGTACTTGATTACAATTAAGGGTAGAAAACAGAGCAAAGAACACAATTTCAGATAAGTTTGGTCTCACTTGTTAACTAGCATCTATGGATACGAGTGATGAGTGAGACCATGACAAGCGTATTTGGCGCCAAGAATATGGAGCTCGCTACCCAAAGAATGGTCAAAACTAGAGTACAGGCCCTAGCTAGTATCATCATAACGGCTTAAAAATTGGATTATACAAGGATATACATGTTCTGCGGCCTGCAGGCACCAGGAAGAGTATAAGTTGTTATGCAATAATAGAAACGGAAAAATAATAACAATGCACATGCAAAAGATGCCTATTTCACGGAGTTGTGAAAGTAAATAACGTATCATATTTCCTAATCTAGGTATATTTAACTCTCAGGTTTACATAAGGAAACAAAAAAAACATTGAAAGGCAATTCCAATGTGACTAGGCACCTCTCCACTTCCAGCATCTTTCTATTCTTTATCATCCTTTTCTATACTCTGTCTGCTAATCAATCAATCAACTAGACCTCAAATCCTCAATCCTATATCGGTAGGGTTTGGTTTTATAAATTCTCCATATCCAGTCCGGACTATTCAGGTTAATCTCATTCTAATACTAAATAATGTCTTTCAAAGCAAGCAAATTAAAATTCCTCTAAAACTCACATTTATTCCCAAATGAATAACTAGTCTAAATCCAATCAGTTAATGTCACTCATATAGCTCCTTTGTTTCCATTGTATTCTGTTCTTGTATTCCAAAAGAAGTTAAAAATTGTTAAAGTTTACATACCATGCGTCCTCCCACCAAGTCATAATGAGCATAATGCTGACCATTATCATCCCCCAATACTTTGTAGGTGACCAAGTGCTCGGGGATAAGCTTTGCCGTTTCTGCTTGAACCAATGTGTTGCAAGAAAAGAATTGTTAGAAAACTTATCATCCTCTGACAGAAAAATGAGCGGAAGTACTATGAAACATACCGCACACTGCTTCTGGTGGGCAGATTATGTCTTTATCTCCAGCAACAGCCAACACGGGTACATTGGTTTTGTGAAGATTATCCTTGTAGAATATTTTACCACTTCTGTCACGGAGTCCCCCTTCTCGAAAAGCTGTAGTCAACTGCAAAATAAGTTTAGCAGGAATAGTACCTGCCAGAAGATCTATTAGAAAATCTAAGTAAGAGGTACATGTGAAATCTCAAGAGAACATAGAAAGGGCGTGATCCCCAAAGGAATTTTTTAACAAAAGAAAGTGAACTTTCAGGATCACCGTCAGACTACAGCCCTTATAAATCAGTTATGATAAACTATCCTTACTTTGATGGAAACACTCTTCCATTGAAGATCATCTATCAACACCGTTCCACAGTGTCAAGAAAACAACACAGGAGTGAAACTTGTGGGAGCAAAGAGTCAATAGTTCATCAAACAAAGAGTCAAATAAATATATTGGTATATGCAGCTCTTTGTCAGAAGAGAAAATATCTAGCTGGCAAATAAATATACAGCGGATGTTTACTTGATATAATTTTCTTTTTCAATCTGAAGATGTTAATAGTTCTTCGTCGCTCATTCTTTATGCGAACAAATAAGAATTAAGAATCAACTCTCAGTCTCTCACATAGTTTGTTTCCACTGATTACCTTATTGCTCAGAAGCCTATAAGGAAAGACCTTTTTAGTTTTTAGTACCGACTCCTCTTGAGGCCAAGAAGGAGACCAACTAGACGAGACAGACCATTGTTCATACTTCATAGGTTGGTTATAAGCAAGTACAAATCAAAATTCAATTTGGCTTGCCAAAGGACATACTTCAAACTTTGGCTGTTCTTCCTTGTATAACGCTGCATGACTACTGTGAAAGATGAGATATACTAATAATCATAATTAATAAGTACATTTGCCTTCCTAACTGATACCCATGAGGATGTATCTGAAATGTAGAATATTAGTTCAACTCAGACTCAACATATCATCCAGACAGAAAGTGGAGGGGAAAAGAATGTATTGGTGCAAAAACGCTGTAGACAGGAATGTGGGGCATAGCCAGATGGTCATTGAATCATTCTTCAGAACATGTAAGTTTCTCATACTGTTATCTTTAAAACTCATACTAAATATCTATGCCTATACAACTTGAAACCTGCCTGCTCTCCATATAAATAAATTATAAAACAAGAGGACCATAAATTTTTACAGTTCACAATCAATTAATACTCCCTCTGTCCCAATTTATGTGACTTATTTTCCTTTTAAGTCAGTCCCAAAAAGAATGACACATTTCTATATTAAGTAACAATTTAACTATAAAATGTCTATTTTACCCTTAATGAAAATGATTTACAGCCACACAAATTCCTATGATTCATTTTGGACCACAAGTTTTAAAAGTTTTCCTTTCTTTCTTAAACTCCGTGCCGAGTCAAACTACCTCACATAAAATGGGACGGAGGGAGTAAGAAATACTGCTTATTGCCCATTTAAGCACTTACAGAAGTTATTTAATACGAGCTTTTTCAGCAACTCTGGATGCATCATGTCTGCAGCTGATATTAAATCATTAAGCCAAGACAACACATAAGGAGGGCGAGAAGAAAGAGGATAAGCTGCTGCAAGTAATGCTCCTAAAGGGACAACAGGTACATTGAGAGCTTGGGCAGGATCAGCCTGCAGCCAAGGTAAATAAATATAAGAATATGCTGAAAGGGCTTTTTGCTGCACAACGAGAGTTGAAAGACATTTATTTTTAGCTTACAAGGGGTAGGAGCAGTCTGAGTGCAGACTTCGAAGATGTGTAATCCAGTGATGAAGCCAAAGTTACAATAGCAGTTAATCCAGGCTCTCTTCCTTGCAATCCTTTCCAAGATAAAACCAGAAACATATTAAAATTATGTCATATCTGTATGATTCCCGGATGTAGTCAGTCTGAAAATATTTTTTTGAGACTGTGCCCACTGCACATTAACAAGGAATCAGACAATGCTCCAAGTGACTTATCTGTTAGTTGCGAAACCTTTTTACATCTAAAACCAGGTCAAATTCCTTCCAAATCAAATTGTCCCTTACACACTGTTAAAACGTATGGATAAAGTATAAAATCTTGCCTAGCTCCCTATAATCTCAATAAGGTCAAAAGATGGCTCATTTTCAGCTCTGTATGAAAGACGCTAGTAAGCAGATAAGTCCCACTGTTAACCAGATCCTGTTTACCTTGGTGCACCCTATCATGGAATTTTTAAGTTAATAGGAGTACTGCACTTGGTGGCTATTACAACTATTCTCCCAAAGTTGTTGTGAACTATAGCATCTTTCTTATTTTTCAGCAAAAAGCTTGTTGAAGTTGAGTCTGAAGATTTTGCTCCATGAATATTAGGAATTAAAAGAACAATAAGTCAAGAGGAGACCAGGTTAACTCAAAGTTGCACCAAGTGAAGTGGTAGCCTTTGGAATTTAATCCCAAGACTAAATCGTATGATACTCCAGCAGGTTCATGGAATAAATTTCTGGAATTATACTGCCTTCTTTATTTAAATAAAATGTTTAAATATTACTGTTTTCTTATCAACTGCAACTACAGAAAGGATTCTTTGTTACTTTTTCAAAACACTTGCACATTAATTTATTAGTCTCTTAAGTGGCTCATAAGTAGACCCGCCAGATCACGTAAGTGTAACAACATTAATTCCATATAAACAACGAATGAATCTTACCACACTGTGATAGCCAAGCATACAGTAATATTCCTCCCATAGAATGTCCAATGGCAAGAAGTTTACCATCTTTTGGTGCAGTTTGGGCCTTAATGTATTCCATCTAGAATGAAAATAAAATAATTAGACTAGTCAGAATAATAAATAAGAGTGAAAAATCAACAAATTCTGAATTTCACTTGGCTGCGTAATCTCAAGGACAATAATATCTTTATATTCTACAACATGGGAATCTGTCACCTCACCGCAGCAGGAACATCCTCTTCCAGGTAATGATCAAAGTCCCAATCATACTTGACAATCAAGTCAAGCTGTTTCTGGAAATCTTCTATGGTAGTGGTTAGACGTTCATGAAGGTCAACTAACGGAGAAACAGAACGTTGGCCTTCTTCAATGATATTTACTAGCTTTTGGCTAAGATCCTTTACTTGGTCAACAACGGCAGAGTTTTGCCCTGTCTCCAGCAGACTTAACAACTTCCCCCTAGTCTCGTTAAAGCGTTCATAAAGAAAGGAATCCTCTAATAATTTTGATATTTGATCAAATAGTTTAGCAGACATAATCCTTGATTGGCTTTCATTGAGGAAGCCAGAGACTCTTTCTGACAAGCGCATAAATGTTTCCGTAAGCTCGTTTACTACTCTTGACTCATCCCACATTGTTGCAATAGCTGTGGATTCTTCTTTGACCACAGCTGTGTCAGACTCTTCTAAGGTACTCTGGGGATCTGTTGACTGCTGTGCTGCAGAAAGAACTTTGTCAGTAGCATTATCAGCGGCAGCTTCCATCTGTTCTGAGACTGCAATTGCAGTCTTCTCAATGTTTGTGGAATCTGACTCCTGCACACTCAACCCAGCTCCACGAAGTTCAAGAACCCAAGTGTCAAATCCTTCACCAGACATGTACCGGGCGAAAGATGACTGCATAATTATTTTTAAAAGTAAAGACCGTGATTAAATAACTTTTAGAAAGAATTTAAAAAAACCAGCCATACTATGTAAGATTTCTTTGATAAGCAGGATGGACATGGTTGCCT